GGTAGAAAATAAAAAGAAAAAGAAGAGAAGTGAGAAGTACAGGAAGAAGGCCCCCGAAGTTTTATCAACGGGACTAGATTCATCTGATGAGGAGGAAGAACTCAAAACTCAAGATGTGAGAAGGAGAAGAGCCGCTAGGAAGCAGGCGGCATTGACTAAAGAAGCTCCCACAAACACGTTCGAAAACAAATCTACTGGAATCAACATATCCAACGTCCCAATTTTCAGTAACGATCTTTATGGTGGTACCAGTTCTGCTCCAACCACCGATGTTTCGTCTATTTCATCTGAATTATCGTCAGACTACCAATCGAGCGATGGAGAAAATGAAAATGATGAGTCGCAACTAAAAGACAGAATCCGAGACAGAATTCATGATAGCAGGCATGATTAAATCAAGTTTCAGTTTGTCCCTGTTTGCTGATTCTCTGGTGATATTGATAGTTATCTTTACTAGTGTCTAGTCTTATATATGATTATGTAATATGATATTTCTTGCCAAAAATTGGACTAAAAGGAGAGCTCCTGCAAGTACCAATCGTGCCTCAGATTAACCTCTACGAATGTCGGATGAAGAGCACAACCAAGATCCTGTTGTAGATAAAACGAACGAAGATGAAGAGTTTGGGTCCTTTTCTGATGCCTCTTTTGAGGAATTTGAGGCAGCTCCAGAACTGGATGAACCAACGAGATCTCTCAGTACTCTCTCTATCAACGACTTAGAGCAATTTGATAATAGGAGTGATGAAAAAGTTGTCAAGATTGTCAATGGTATATTAGGAGTGCAACCAGAGGATCCAAACAATGATCCGGAGGAAAATGGACCCTTTCTTGACGAAAGGGCTCAGGCATTGTTAAGCCAACTATCAAGTGAACCAAATAATCTTCAACAGTTGAATTGGAAACAGAGTATAATAAGGAGACAGCTATTTCTCAATTTAAGCATCCCATTTGATCTGGACGAGCTATATCCAAGAGAAAGGAAGCTGGGGATAAGTAAAGTCTACGGTGAAGATTCTTTTCCTGACGGCACGGACAAATTAGTCGCTGATATACCATTCATAGAGCTTAGCCCAGAAAGGGCCAAACAATTGACCCAAGAAAGTGATAGTATTGTACAGAATATTGAAAGGCGCTTGCAGTCCGAGCAATATTACAGTGACGGGCATTTGTCAGAAGAAGAGTTGGAAGACATACTGAAAGAAATGAAAGGTTTTAATGCACAATTAATCGAGCTATTATCGGGATGGAATCAGGAGCGGTTGGAGCTATTAAAAGATCGTGAAATTTCTGAAGGCTACTTGACTAATATATTAGATAACTCCCAAAAGTTTCGAAGACAAAGCTCTATCAAACAAAGACATCTATGATCCGTCAAATTTTCCATTTTTCAGTACAACTATTGATGCCATCAAATACTAATGAGTTTTCAAGTGGGATGTATTGGCCAGTAATAAGTTTGACAGCCTCCTGGCCGACGATTCCTCCCATGAATGAACATATATTATGCAATTGAGTTCCCTTGGATCGTAGAATTTCCTTCACAATGTCGCTAAGAAAGTCAGGCACTTTTTCAGACTTCAAAAGAACCTGAACTATGGAAATTAGTTCGTTATAATCTGAGTCTTGTGGAATGACTCCTGAATGACTATCCATAAACTTGTGAGTAGCAATGAATGCAATAAATAATGACAACAACGGAGTATTTCCAAGCTCACGGATCAACCTGGGGTCAATCAATGTTTTGGAACCCCTCTGTAGAAATAGGTATCTTGAATTCTTGCAGAAAATTCTGATTGACTCATGGTCTAGGTGGTCAGCATCTCGGCCTATAGATAGTAAAATTTGGCTCACCAAACTGGTGAACTGATTAATGTCTTCCTCAGCCTTTGCTTTGTAAATGTGTTGGAGCTTGATGTAGGTTTCTGTGCTGGAATGTAAATCAGGCAGCACACCTGGTAGAGGAGGTAACTGTCCGTTCTTTTCAATGAACAACTTTAATGCTTTTACATAAATCCAGAATAATGGCGTTGATAGGGATAAATTGTCCAGGATCGGATCGTTGATGATGGTTTTGACGTTTTCAGGTAATTGAGTCGACACTTGGGAAGCTCTCCAAGAAAAAGTAACCGCTTCCTCAAAATTTTGCAGGCTTAGGTCAGATTGCAATTCGGAGCAGAGTTGTTTGAATTGAGCTTTTTCCTTTGGAGTGGATGGTTGTTTTTCATGGATGAATTTCCACCTATCTAAGGCTTTTATCAGTATCAATAAGTACGGAATATGCTCTTTATCATCAGCTTCCAAATCGACTGAATCACTCATTTCTTTTAATTCTTTCCAGGGATAATCAATACGGAAGTCACTGAAAGATTCAGGGTGAGATTCCGTGATGGTATGTTCTTTGATGTAGATTCTCATGTAACCGTAGAATCCTATTGTGGAGACATGAATGAGCGGTATTTTCATATGCCATAACGTATCAGCCAACGTCAAGACTTTTTGCAGATGCCAACTGGAAGCTATGATAATCAAAGAGAACTGGGACCAAAAATGAGTATCCTCAACTAAGCTGTTGGTTAATGAGATATCAAGTGCTCTGCCTTCAACATCTGGGTTCAATTCGTTGAGGTTCCGCACTACGGCAGCTGCTTTATTGGAACCAAGGTCCTGCTGTGTGAGAAAAAAGTTTGTTTCCAGATCTGAGGTGGTCACTTTGGACGAGTCAACTATGGTGAACTTGCCGCAACCTGGCAAAACCAGGTTCTTGAGGGCTTCAGTCCCTGTGGTGGTAGCACCCAGTAGGCAAACATTGGAGTGTCTCAGTAGATATTGGCCACGTTGAGCCCAAAGACGAAGTTGCCTGTCATATTTTTCGGACATTGGGTTAACGTAAACCTCTATATGAAGGGAGGAGTTGCAATAATTCGGGGTAAATCAGGAGGAAAGTGCAGTCCGCCTGTGGGCGGAGGCGAGCAGCAGGAGAGTCCAGAGAAAAAACAGGATGTACCCCAACAGTCTTGGCTTGCCAACGAAACGGCTGAAGACAACAGCCGCTTTCTCACAACTGAAAATGGAAATTAAGCTCTACCACTCGCCAGTCTAGATCTAACTTGTGAGCTTGTCGGTACTCCATAAACTGGTTATATTTTTGCGTGCAAAGGAGCAACCAGGGCAATTCGACCTCCCAGCACCTACGCTTTGTGATTGCTATCTGCCTCGTTAGCAATCGCTGCAACGAACACTTAGATCTGCTCCAGTATGTAGTAAACCTGAAACTCTTGAAACCTATTTAAACTGTAGACGGTGCACTTCTAGTTATCAACGGCCATTTCTGTGCTTGTTAATTGATTGAATAAACTGCAGCTATTGTTCTCCCGCCCACACGTGTTGAGACGGTAGAGGTTGTTCGCATTGTCCTCGCAACCTTAATTTTTTTTCCCACTTTAATTCGCAGCCTTTTTTTGACAAACAACTTGATGACCTTGGACATGACATAATGAAGTTTGCTAAGTTGTATGATGAAATGCTGAAGTCAGAAGAGATTCCAGAAGACTGGATTGGCTCTCGTATCCAATATAAATCTTTGAAGAAATGTATCAATCGAGTGGTCAAAGAACTGGAATCTGCATGCTTAGAGAAGGACCTCATTGAGGTGCTCTTAGAAGGCGACCATAGGTTGGCAGATTATGTGCTTGAAAGTGACAGTAAGATTATTACTCCCAAGCTAATTATCAAGGTTCCCCATAACAAGCAAGGTTTACCCAAGTCGGAGACTTCCTCAAGGCTATGGGAGTTTGTCAACAACAGGGACTATTTAAAAGACGATGAGTTGTTTAAAGTCGTCGAAGTAAAAGAAGAAGATGATGCGACCTGTTTGGTATTTCATTTCCATGAGGACTCTAGTTTTTTTAGGGAGCTATCGCTCGAGCTGGAAGGTCTGAACAATTTCAAAGAGGCTCAAAAACGTTACCTGGTAGACCAAGTGGACATGATCAGTAAGTCCGTTAGTGAGTCAACGTCGTTTATAAAGCGCAGGTCAGATCTTTATACATGGAGGGAGCTTTTCAAGTTGTATATTGACTCTGAAATCTTTTTCAAGTCATCCACAAACACCGCTGGAGAACGTAGTGTCCAACAAGCAAAGGCCAATCTAGCAGCATTTTGGAAACACGTTAATGACAGAAAATTCCACAAGGCGTTCCATCAAAAGGGAAGCAAGTCAGCTTTCAAATCGTTCATTGGCTTGAACGAGAGACTATTGAAGGTTTCACAGTTTCAGTATCTTAACAAAATGGCCATGACAAAAATTTTGAAAAAGTTCGACAAACAGACCTCGTTGCACACCAAGATGATTTTTCCCAAATTACTGGCACACAATACCTTTATCGAAGAGTCTTTTGCACAGCAATTGTGCTACAAGATATCTACCAACCTTTTATCGATAATTCCTCAACTGGATGACTATACGTGTCCTATATGCTGCTCAGTTGCATTCAAGCCTATCAAATTAGACTGTGGACACATTTTTTGTGTGAGATGTCTCGTGAAGCTGCAAAGATCTGGCGAAGATAGATGTCCTTTATGCCGTGGGGAAGTTGTCTTGAACGCAGATAACAGTAACCTGGACCTGGAACATATGCAATACCTTCAGAAGTATTTTCCAAAGGAAGTCAAAATCAAGCAGAACGAAACAGAGAGAGAAATCGCAAAGGAGAGATTCGAAGCTGTATACGGCGAAAAAAATTGTATTATAATGTGAAAGTCTACTCATAGAAGTAATTGTATAATCGTTTAGAGAGATAGAGTTGTTAATCAGAAAAGTTCTTTTTCAATATCAACATTCCTATTGATTTATCTGCTATACCTCCGCAAAATTGGTTTTTCCTGTAATTTCTCTTCCTGTAAAAGGTACTAGCAGAGTCAAATGGCGGTTGGTATGAGACTTCAAATTAGAAAAATGCTGCTAACATACTTGCTAAAATTAGAATTTTCAACAGAACGGTTTGGTGGTGTAATGGTTATCACGTCTCCTTTACACGGAGAAGGCTCCGAGTTCAATTCTCGGCCGAATCATTATTTTTTTTTCTCCGATTACAAAATCGGAAGTTGCCTGCCTCTGATAATATTCGCTTCCGGAATAGACGGATCGTGTGCCTCATCAGACCGGTTTACTTTCTCCGTTGGAGAATCACTATTACCAAAAAGACGCCACTGAAAATAGACCTTGGCAATGTGCCACCATCCAATAAAAGTCAGAGCAGTTTAGTCAGAAACCATGACCAGCAACCGCAATCAAACTAAACTTGCTCTTGGCCCTCAAGGTTGTCCTCTATGATTATTGGCAAAAAAGCCTCTCTTGGCATTAACCTTCTGTTTCCAAGATCCTAATTAGGAAACGATAAAAAAAAATCCCCTAGATAATTTTTTCCCATTACGTAAATAAGCGCTCAGAATGCCTAATATAATCAGAAATAATCCATATCAGGATTTTATGTTGCGGTTGTAACTTAGAAAAAAAAATACTCTGATTCTTCCTCCCAGGGATGTCTATAATCCAACAGCTGTTCCGTAGTAACCGGAAGAAGCAGGCAAAGAAGAAGGAGCAAACTTCCAGCTCTCCCCAGACCCAACCCGACCAGTTGCATCCGAGTAATGTGCCCACAGGCCAGAACTCGCAAAACGAGGCAGTGACATATAAAGATGAAGAGCAAATCTTGCGGACCTCCCTTAACTCAAGCGAAGCCACATCAAGGTCTGCCTCCTCTGACGTGAAAGATAAAAGGTTGTCCGATAAGCTCTCTCATAGAAGGTCATCATCGACCAGTGCTCGAGCCGCCTATACATTACCAACAGCAACTCTGAGACATTCTGTTTCGCCCAATTTGAATTCATATTTTCCAAATGGTTCAGAATTACCCAGCGTTGATAAACTACCGAGAGAGATGCTACCTATAGTGACCTTGATTCACGCTCAGCAGGCCAGAATCTATGTTGAAGGGTTAGTCAAGGTCCCAGATAATCCAGATCTAACTATATCAAACGACAGTTTACTAGATCTGCCTGATAGCTGGAAAATCGTTAGTTCCAAACTGAGTGGAACAGAACTTTCCTTCTGGGGTATGAATCAGGACGGGTCCCTAGCAACGACCAATGATCCAGAGGATGACGAGGTTGGGCTGTTCAAACCAATATACGCAAATATTGTAGATGCTGTGTTCTCCCTGGATGTCTCCAGGTTAATCATCAAAATCACACTGAGCCTCCAAAGGGAATTGCAGCTGAGATGTGCCAATATCAATGATTTGAAACTGTTTTACTCTTCTTTACTATTGGCGCAGTTTGAATATCAGCAAATGCAGAAAGCTTTCACTGGAGCATTGTTGAGTGCAAAAGCCGTCAACTTTTCGGACATCAAGGTTCTTTTGGCGCCTGAAAACAAGTTTGTCAAAGAGGAGTGGGCAACTATACGTTTCCCTTGGTTAAATGCAAAGTGGCTGCGATGTTACCTTTCTGTCATACCTGGTGAAAGCGTATCATTCCCGTCACTTAAATTCAAGGATAAAGAGAAGGTCAATAAGGACAAACCTGGTAAGATAGAAATCTATATCTCCTCTAAAAAGGGAAAGAAAAATCTTCTTGCAACGATTTTCAATGGAAGATCATGTTTCTCCATTTATCCAGAAGTACCAGAATTTATTGACAGTAACTCATTGATTCGAATAGAGGGCGAGGTCCTTGTCAATGAGACTTTACTAGATAAACTCTTGAACCAAGATCTAGACGGTCTACTGAGCCGATCGTCGTCACAAACAAAGCTAAATAAGAGGTCATCGACAGGATCGTTGTCATCTTTCAAGAACCCATTTCGAAGTAACTCACTGACAAGTATGGGTCATAGCAGACTCAGATCATCTTCTGTTAACTCTGTAGAGTCAAGTGGTAGTAGTATTTGCGTACCGGCTAACAGTAAAGTGTGCAGGACGAATTTCGTATACATCATTCCAGAAACTCATCATGGAGTGCCTGATTCCGAAACCATGATTCGACTACTCATACCAGTTTTCAACGTTTTCAAGTTGTATGGCCGCCCTCAAAAGTTTCTTTCCTCAAGAGAGAACAAACAGTCACTTCTCTTTGGATTACCCCAGTTACCGCACACCCAGTATCTGGACTCTGAAAGCTCATACCAACTAGTGGACTTGAATTTAGAAAACAGTATCAAAGAAGAATGGGCCCTGTTTGACTGGACTCAGGTCTTCCAGGAGATGTGTTCGTATCGCATATCTCAAGGCATCAAGGGTTCTGGATCTCTCGTGGATACATTCCGCGATGGGTTGCTCTATTCAAAGGAACTTGCTGACCTGAAAAGATTTGAATATGCAGAAGATCTGGAGTTCTATGACGCTGAAGAAGAAGAGCTGAACTTCAAGCAAGGGATTGCCGGCAACGGAAAAACTAGCAAACACCAGAGACTCTTATCCCAGGATATCTCCAATAATTCCGTGAAACTAACCCCAGTAAACGGTATCAACAGTGATTCGTATGTATCGGTGAATACATAATTCCCTCCTGTTTAGGCAAATGTCATGCTTCAAATATAATACCCACGTTTGTTATTGTTACCCCTATCGTTTTGTCTAGAACACTATTTATCGCACCTAACTATGCCTAGAACACCGAAGATCCCTCTCATTGGCTCGAGACATGGGGATATAGAATGGATCCTGAGAGAAAATTGTTTACATTTGGAATTGAGTTAGCCCCCTGTGATTATGACAACATGCATGCTGATGCATTCAATGCATGTGCATTCTGATATGAGAATTTCATCTACTAGATCGCAACGAAAAGTGGAAAAAAAAAGTAGGCCCATCCCTCTGGTAAAGAGAGTTGAATCAACAAAGCTCAGGCATGCTAGTCTATTGCGCATCCGCTATCATTTCGCCGTTTCAATGTACCTTTTGTTTGTGATAATTTCTCGACTCATCACGTTATTCCAAAATTTCACTCGAAACAATTAGTCGTGCAGATACATTTCCAGTACACCTGAAATCAGTCTTCTTCTCTACTATTAAGAAACGCGTTATTTACGTCTCCCCCTTTTTGGAACCCTGGCCCCCAAGGTTTGTTAGAGAAGCTATAAGACTCCTGTGGTTCCCTGAAATCGTGTTGTTTGTGATTCTTTTTGATACATCAAGTCTTTTTCGATAAAACCAACGAAGATACTCTTGAGTCGTTTTCTGCAAATCCCAACTACCTGTCACTCCTTTAAAACACGTTCACTATTCTAATGAAGTTCTCTACCAATTTGATCTTAGCTATTGCAGCAGCATCCACTGTTGTCTCAGCTGCTCCAGTTGCTCCAGCCGAAGAGGCAGCAAACCACTTGCACAAGCGTGCTTATTACACCGACACAACCAAGACTCACACTTTCACTGAGGTTGTCACTGTCTACCGTACTCTGAAACCGGGCGAAAGTATCCCAACTGGCTCACCAAGCCACGGCGGTAAAGGTAGTAAAACAGGCAAGGGTAAGGGTAGCACCACTGACGCTGGTGTTCCAGGAACTACCTCAGTTGCCCCAACTGCGGACTCCACTTCAGCTAGTGGTTCAATAGGGCTACCAACCAGCGCTTCTTCAGCTACTTCTGCTACATCCTCTGCAAGTACAACAACCAGCGGAACTTCAACCTCTAGCACTGGCACTGGTACTACCACTGGTGCTACTACTGGTACTGGTACTTCAAGCACTGGAACCACTAGTTCCAGCACTAGCTCCTCTGCCACTTCGACTCCAACCGGTTCTTTGGACGCTATCAGCCAGTCGCTTTTGGATACTCACAATGAGAAGCGTGCTTTGCACGGTGTTTCTGACCTCACTTGGTCTACAGAACTAGCTGACTACGCTCAAGGTTACGCCGATTCATTCACTTGTGGTTCTTCATTAGTACACACAGGTGGCCCATACGGTGAAAACTTGGCCTCTGGTTACTCTCCTGCTGGCAGTGTAGAAGCATGGTACAACGAGATCAGCGACTACGATTTCTCTAACCCTGGTTATTCTGCTGGTACCGGCCACTTCACCCAAGTTGTCTGGAAATCAACTACACAGCTGGGCTGTGGATACAAGGAGTGCGGTACCAACAGATACTACATTATCTGCGAATACGCACCTCGTGGAAACATTGTCTCTGCAGGTTACTTCGAAGACAATGTCTTGCCTCTTGTTTGATTCGTTCGTTTCTATTTCAACGGTTACGTAATATTTCATGTATTCCATTCTATTAATTGTTTGATTATGTAATTTTTTTTTGTTTCACAGTAGTGTCTTCGCTGAAAATGTTTCCAGCTGGGAAATTTTTGACTGGTAAAATAATCCTAGGATCCAACTGACTTAATCTTAGACTAGGCAGACATACTAAACGAACCCCTATCAAATTCACTAATATGAGCACATCAACTTGTCGGTTCTACGAAAACAAATACCCTGAGGTGGATGATGTTGTCATGGTGAATGTACAACAGATCGCCGAGATGGGTGCGTATGTGAAACTATTGGAGTATGACAATATTGAAGGAATGGTGTTGCTCTCTGAGTTATCCAGAAGACGTATCAGATCTATTCAGAAGCTTATCAGGGTGGGCAAGAATGAAGTGGTGGTGGTACTGAGAGTTGATAAGGAGAAAGGTTACATTGACCTTTCCAAGAGACGAGTCTCGTCGGAGGATATTGCAAAATGTGAGGAAAGATACACAAAGTCCAAGTCTGTCCATTCTATCTTGAGACATTGTGCTGAAAAGTTTAACATGCCTCTGGAGGAGCTGTACCGTACTATAGGATGGCCATTAAGCAAGGAATTTGGCCACGCCTATGATGCCTTCAAGATATCTATCACCGATAGCACTGTTTTCGACAAGGTCCAACCTCCATCACAAGAGGTCTTAGAAGAACTAAAAGTTTACATTTCCCGAAGACTAACGCCGCAGGCCATTAAATGTCGTGCTGACGTTGAGGTCTCATGTTTCAGCTACGAGGGTATTGAAGCCATCAAGAGTTCACTAAAAGCTGCTGA